TGTGTTAAAAAAGGCACCCTTATGGTTGTCATGATTCCAAGCGGTCTATTTTTCTGACAACGAAACAAAATAAAACGGAAAACAGAATTTTTTTCAGAAGAAAAAATTAATAATTATTAGTAATTGTTAATTTGATAATTTTTTGACAGATTTATGTTTAAATTTGTAAGGTTACATTTTTTCAGTAAAATTTTTCTCTCTCTCTCTCTAAAAAAAAAAGGACGATACTGTATCGATATAGCAAATGGGCGAAAAGAAAGCAGATTTTATTAGACGCTAATTTTATTACAAATCTCTGCTTGATTAAATATATTTTGAACGATTTTAAATAATTATATTCTCTATATGAATTCTTAAATTAATTTTTAAAAATATTTATTTTTAAATAGAAAAATCATATATGTTCTTAGACAATAAACTACTTCTCTATACACAAAACTTTTCAAAATGGCTTCTTTCGTTTTTCAGGTGAAGATATATACTCTCTTTATTTTTATTACTTCTTCTGTAACAAAGGATTTTTCTACCCTCATACGCGAATAAATCATTTATTATCAATATTATAAATTTGAATATATTATCAAAAAATGCAATATTCAGCAAGAAAAATTATTATTATTATTATTATAAGATAAACCCAGCTTAAAATCGTTCTACGGTCGAACGAACAGGTGATCCTGATATTGGAGCGCCGGATAATAATCGAGGTTCCATTGTACCTTCCGAAAATGAAATAAAAGCAGATCGACATTTCGAAGGTTCCAGACTTCGTATACCTACCTCTTAATCGGCAAGGTCAGTGGTTTCGCGAAAGCCGGAAACTTTCGTCGTGAGAGGAACCGGCGCGACGGCTGCGGAACGGTCGTCCAAAGCAGGATGCGGTTCGTTAAACGTTGTCGACTCGTGTCCGGGCGCTGTCCGACAAAAAAATTGAGACGTTTAGTTAATTATCGAACGACGCGACAACGACGCGTGTTTCGCTTCACGCGATATTCGGACAGGTCGTGCGTTCCTTCTTCCTTTTTTTCCCCTCCCCCTTCTCTTTCTTTTTTCTCGCCGGAGCGGCACGGTAGTATATTCGTGTCCGTTGGATGTCTGGCAGCGTGTTAACGCGCGATCCCGTCCGCAGATATCGGAGATATATTTTCAGCGATAATCTTGTCGCTAATAAAAATCGCATTTAATAACGCTTTCCCAAGGATGCACGCGGCACCGCGCCGCGCAGCGCAGCGCCGTAACTTCTCCAACGATCCTCGACCTTAATAACCGCGCCAACAGACCGATAACGTTCTCGTTTCGATGGTACCGTGACCGATAAAAACCTAATGAAACACCTTCGACCACCGTTTCGACACGCGACAAATCATACGTATAACCGCGGCCGACAAGCGCGCCCCGGCGAACCTAATTCGCCCCGTTTGCTAATTATCAAGGAATTCAGATCTTTATGTGGACCGACCGCGCGAGCGTTGGGACCGACCACGAACGATCGAGCGAATCTACAAGATTGGTTCGGTTGGTTCGCTCTTATAATGCCGAACAACGGCTGCACTGAAAAAAAATCTTGCTTTTTTTTAGTACTTTTTCAGAAATAACAGTTTCACTTCTTTAGTCATGCTACTTTGTCAATCTTCCAATTATTAGGTTCTACGATATTCTTGTAATCTTTACGACATTCTTTTTCTTTCATTTTTCTAAAAATTATGTTATGATAAATGCGTGCGTGCGTGCGCGTGCGTGTGATAATATATATATAGATAGCAATAGTAATTTATTTGTTCACGTGAACGGGTAAAAAACCCTTTGTTACAGAAGAAGAAATAAAAAGAAAGACTTTGTATAAACAAAAAAATGTTTTAAATAAAAAAAATGAAAAGAAGAAAATAAAAGAAAAAGAATATCGTAAAGGTTACAAAATGTCGTAAAAACTGATAATTAGAATATTGACAAAGGAACATGAATACAGAAATGAAACTGTTACTTCTTAAAAACATTTATAAAGCGAGAAGAATAAATAAAAAGAGAGATTTTATATAGTCAAAAATTTTCTTTTTGTTTATATAAAATCTTTCTTTTTATTTCTTTTTCTGTAACAAAGGGTTTTCTACCCGTTCACACGAACAAATAAATTACTATTGCTATTATTATATGTAAATGAATAAATGAAATGGTATGTCAAGGTTTAATTAATTTAACATAACCTTAACATAACTTCGACATAACCTTGACATAACCGGCGAGTAAAGTGCAATTTGTAGAAACAAACCTACGAGGGAAAGGTACGTCTTGATCTTCATGATTTTTCGTGCTTCGGGAGCTGCCTTAAGATTTCAATTTTTCCCCACTTCCAGCGCGCGGCAATCGCAGAAATTACATAAAACTGAATGAATATATTGAACGAAGTAACAATGAAGATGTTAATATATGTGCGTGATGTTCGAGGCTGCTTCCTCAAGCTTCTTACGCATCGACGCAAGAATTCGTGTTTAAATCTGAACAAACAATTCTGTCAGCCATATATGGACGACCCGGCGGTCGACGTGTTGAGATAAGCTCAAGTAGATCGTCACCCGGCTTGATCAAACATCGAGAATCACGGTCTCGAAATTCACCGATCGTTTGACGCTATTTTTACCGATCTACTCGACACGCATACCTATTTTTTACTCGATTCATTTTACGATCATTATACTGGAAAAGTTGTAAAGTGAATGCAGAAGAAGCGATCAACGCGATGAATGTCGCGCGAGCTACGTGTAACTGGAATTAATTTGAGTGAAATTGAATTGTGGGCGACACCAGTTTTCAAGTATAAGTTTTTTGAAATTCATTTTTATTGTAATATATTCGAAGGAACCGAATGTTACCAAGATTGTAAGAAAAAGGTTGAATTATTAGTTACTATGATCAATTTGAACTTTCCAGCTTGGCTTTTATTAATTAAACGACTGATATTGCAAGAATTCGCGATGTTGTAAGACTTCGTCTGCCGCGTCAGCCGTACATGGGCGAAAGAATTGTTTAAACTTTAATTTCTAAAAATTAATTTTTACGCTAATCCTCGTTATAATTCCTTCATTTTATTAAGATTCGCAAGAGATGCGAACGTTGATGAAGTAATTAGTGCCATGTACGCTTGCTTTGCAATTTGAATTCGATCGAATGACATACTTTAATTTCATGAAATTGTCGGGGTTCTCGATCGTGAAAGTGTGTTACATTGCATTTACCGAATTTCGCCAAAACTGCATAAAATCCGCGGTCCGGTGATCACTTTCTATTCCAGTTTCGTAACGCGAAGGGGGTACGTCCCGTTGAAATATTTGACATAAAATTAGAAGAAGAAAAAACAAATCGTCTATGCTGCCGGCGTAGGTAGCGAAACACCGTCGGATCCGGTCGCGCGAGTCCCGAAACTCGGACCGAGCTGTTCCGAGTCCGGTCCACGGCTGCGATTCGTGCTCCGTTTCCGAGCGGGACGAGTTTCGCGCGTCACCGCCGCTTTTGTCGCCTCGTACCCGAGCCTCGTGGCTCTCGCGTTCTCGCCGACACGACAAGAGCAGCGAACGGTAATCGATCGCCGATGGAATCGCCTGTCTCCCGGCGAGAGTCTAGATTTCCGCGGAAGACCGGCGGGGGCTATCGATCAGCCGAGATCCGGGAAAAGAAGACGCGTGGGCAGCGGTGTTCCACGCATGGAAAATCAACGGGCTAGAACGTCACGAAAGTGCGGACTCGCGACTGTCGCTGTTGGAGAGTCGCGTGGAGAAACGTTGGGTCGCGATCCGGCCTATGTTCGAGGGTTACGTGTTCCTCGACGCGGCCGAGATTTACACGGCGGGAAACGTCGCGCCGAGCCCCGTCGTCTCGGACAGGAAATCGATGGGCGAGCTTCGACTATAACCGATTCGACTGCGCCGGAAAATGGTCGGGCCGTCGACGATACCTGAAATCGCGTCATGGAAATTTTCATCGCTGCGACGTGCCGATTCTTTCCGTCGATTACAGGTCGTTCATGCCACGGTTTTTTTACCGATTCGGTCGTTTACAATTTTCAATTTAAATTTACTTTGTTTCGGATTTTTCAAGCTTGTTTCGTTTCTAGTCTACATTTAACTTTGCTTCGAATTTACTTAAGTTTGTTTGTTGTTTCAAGTTTAATGTTCAGTTCACTTTGTGTTAGGATTAAATTTACGTTCACGTTGTATTAAATTCTAGTATACAAATATACATTTTTGTATATTTGTTTATATATATTGTATTAATTGTATGCAAGGGAATTAAACCGGTGAATAAGCGAATGAAATGAAACGAAAGGAGATTAAAATAAATTGAATGAAATTTCCGAGAAAATGGTTGCGAGAAATTACCGATTCGGTTATTTTAATTCCCTTGTATACAACTAACACGAAATATATGTATATCTGTAAACAGAAATAAGAAAGTTATAAACTTAAATGAACAATATAAACTTAAATTCAATCTGAAAACAAGATAAACTTAAATTTCATCTGTAAACAAAATAAGCTAAAATTTAATAGGAATAAATATTATTATTATTATTATACAATAAATGATAATAATGACCGAATCGATAAAAATCCGTATCGGGAAAACGAGCCGCAGCCGAACCTGTTGCGGATCGCAAAATCGACGGAAACGATCGCGAAACGAGCCGAAACGCGACGCGACGCCGCGGTCCCTCGATGCCTCGAATCGTCGTCCAACGGAACTGTTATTTCAGTTTCGATGATAACGATACGCGATGCAAAAGCGCGGTTGTAAGCGAGCGGGAACGCCGAGATCGCTGTTTTGCTCCGCTCCGCAGAACAAGACTTATTGCCCGTCGACGCCTGCTAACGTTCGAAACTCGAACTGGATTTATACGACACGCTTCCGCTTGTTTCTCCCCCGGAGAACTCTTAATTAAGACTTTATAAATCACGAATCGACATTCACGTTTCACGTTTTTCTTCCCACGTTGGGCTCGCTTTTCTCAGATCGTGCTGAACTCGATGCACCGATACCAGCCGAGGATACACTTGGTCCGCTGCCGACAGACGGACGACAACAACCTGCACATCACCGACCTGCAGAAGGAGGAGCACAAAACCTTCATATTCCCCGAGGCGATCTTCACCGCGGTGACGGCCTACCAGAATCAGCTGGTGAGCACCACGACGAGAGATCTCTTTCTCGACGATCTTTTCTTAATCCTCGGCGATTTAATCGCGTCTCAGATCCTGGATGCTGATGCGGCGACTGTCGCGCTTCATCATATATATATTATATATTTATTATAATATATTTATTTATTTACTTATTCGTTCATTCACGGGCCCAAACGATACGATACGTGAAATAATTACAAAGGCTGTCAATTTTTGAGTGTTACTTTTAAATATCGCGCCATTTAAAGCCTCTGCGCCAGATTGCCATATATTGTTTGACATTTGACAAGTTGAAACATTGCGGTGAACAAAAATGGAGAGATATTCGATTCGGCAACGCCTGTCTGTTATTAAAAATAATTACGAATTCGGTGAAAGTTATGCAAAAGTTGGAACACAATTTCGTGCAGAACACGAAAGTGAAAACTGTCCGTCGAAGTACTTGCAAATCGAACGAATAATTTACAAATTTGAAGAAAGTGTTTTTTGCTTGCGAATAAAGTTGGTAAACAACATCGTCGTAGTGTTCACTATTTTCATCGTTCGAAGTTTCACCTACTCGATTTTATCACAAATGCATAAAATCCGCGGTCTAGTCGCAGCGCATAATCGATTCCAAATATTGTTTGAAATAGAAAATAACGTTTCATGGAATACTACGTACATATGTATATTTACAGTCGTAATAATATCAATCCTTATAGCGAAACATTATGTTTGCAGCTGTTCTTTTATACATTCATGCATATTAAGAGCTATATTTGCAGTCGCGTTGGTTACAGTTCACTTTTATCACATAGTTTCTGAACTGTTTTTATTTCTTTTTTCTAATATTCAAAGAAGATTTGATACCTGTGTCGTGGGCAAATTTGTACCGACCGAAGAAACTTCGAAATTCACCTTTAAATCGTTAAGAAATGTCATTTAAATTGGTAAAGTTGTGTTCAGTAGCGAGAACTGCTGAAAGGCTGCTAACGGGGCGCAGTAATTGGCTCCTTTACCCATATAACTATAGCTCGAACGATTTCGTGCCTTCTCTTTGAACTCGTTTCCCTTCTGTTCTCTCTCTCTCCCTCTCTCTCTCTTTCTCTGTCTGTCTTTCTCGCGTGCAAAAGCGCCGCCAATCGACGGATTATTATCGTGTTGCAGATAACGAAGCTGAAGATCGACAGCAACCCGTTCGCCAAGGGTTTCCGGGACTCGTCGAGACTGACGGACTTCGATCGGTAGGTAGCATCTCGGACGAATCGCGGCAGATCGGTCGATTTGTTTCGCGCGTGGATCGATTAGCGTCGCGTCGCGGCGATTGCGATGCGATGCGATGCGATGCGATACGATACGATACGATACGATACGATACGATACGATAAGATACTATGCGATGCGAGGCGATGCTAGCCGGAGCGGACGCAGCGATCATTACGCGCCATTATAACGTCGGCACCTTAATCATAGCGCCGGCCGAATTATCGCGCGATCTCTTAGATCTCGTTAAAAGTGGAAATTTATACAACGCTAAATGTTGAAGGAGAGCCGCGCGTTTGATCCTGAGCAAGCGTGCGCGCACAGTCGGCCGATTCCGGAGTTATCCGCGATCATCTATCTACATGAATGACGACGCACCTGCCCGGCCGCTCGCTAGCCGCGCCTTTCGCGTTTATGACCGGCCCGGTATACACGCGTGACAGAAAAGTATTTCTTTTTTTTTCACCTGTGCGTGTCCGTGTTCCGTGTTCCGTGTTCGTGTGTCGTGTTCCTGTTCCTGGTACGCTCGCGATGCTCGTTCGAGCGGCGGCGGCGGCGGCATTGCTGCCGCGCGTCAACGGATTACCGTTAACGGCGACAAACTAACGCCCCAATTAGCAACGTTTCCATTAATCCTGGCAGATGCTCGGCAATAATCGAGCGCCGCCGCGCCGCGCCGCGGCCGACACGATTCGGATTGCCCTCGCGGGACCGATACCGGCCCGGTCCAGGACTCCGGCGATCGCAAAGAGAGTCCCAACGATACGGTTATCCCGGTCGTTTCTCTTCAATTAACGCGGCCGAACGGTGGCTGCGCCCGGGTGCGAATACGCCCACTAAATCGTTTACACGGCCGATCTCGACGATCTCTCCGGATCGCGACTCAAGGTTTTATGCAAATGCGTCGCGTCCGGGCATAGGACGCGCGAGGCGGTTTAAAGCGGCGCGGCGTGACCGCGGCGCGGCGCGAAGCGGAGAATCGATAACGGCCACCCAATAAAGTCGTCTTTTGCCGGGGTCTCGGGCTGGCAGCGCGCACACCGGTGCTGTCGCCTCGCGAAAGCGATATCGAGCCCGCAATACGCAAGGCGAGGCGAGGCGCGAGGCAGACACGTCTTCTTTTCTCCCGACGCTCGTCTCCTTTCGTCTCCTCTCCTCCCGGGAACGATCGCGCGCCGCGCCGCACCGCGCCGCCGTCTGCGGCGACCGGCAACACCTGCTGTCCCCGGGATCGTGCGACCGATGCGATTAAAGAATTTGTTCGCCGGTAATGGAGCAATAATTAAAAGATTTTAGTGCCGCCGCGGGAGCTCATTGCCGGTCGCGCTCGAAAAGTCGGACAGCTTCTTGTCGTTATCGCGGCCCAGATTTCGAGCTCGATCGCGCGCGAGAGTGTCCGCTTGGAAATTCCCGTAAGAAGGTCGAAACGTTCGGCGACCGCTCGCCAGCTATGCCTAGGGATGTTTCGATACCGCGTCTGAGTGTCGCTACTTTTACTTAGTTGCGGGTATCGGAACAAAGTATCGATAACTATTCGATATCGAAACGAAAGTATCGATAGCTACTTGATATCGAAACGAAAGTATCGATAGCTACTTAATATCGAAACATAAGTATCGATAGTTATACTGAATATCGAAATAGAGATATCGATATCTACCTAATATCGAAATAAAAGTATCGATACCTACCTAATATCGAAACGAAGGTATCGATAGTTACTTAATATCGAAACAAAAGTATCGATAGTTATCGAATATCGATATCTATCTGATATCGAAATCAAAGTATCGATACCTACCTGATATCGAAACGAAAGTATCGATAGCTACTTAATATCGAAATAGAGATATCGATATCTACCTAATATCGAAATAAAAGTATCGATACCTACCCGATATCGAAACGAAAGTATCGACAGCTACTTAATATCGAAACAAAAGTATCGATAGCTACTGAATATCGAAATAAAGATATCGATATCTACCTGATATCGAAACGAAAGTATCGATAGCTACTTAATATCGAAATAAAGGTATCGATAGCTAATTAAAATCGAAACAACAGTATCGATATCTACTTAATATCGATATAAAGGTATCGATACCTGCTTAATATCGGAATGAAAGTATCGATTGCTAATTAAAATCGGAACAACAGTATCGATATCTACTTCAAAACGATACAAAGGTATCGATTCCTGCTTAATATCGAAACAAAAGTATCGATAGCTACTTGTATCGAATGATATGATACGTTGACCATTGAACGATGATACTAGGATCATTTATAGTTTGTAGATAGAAACAAACGACGATTTCTTTAAGCATCTATAATTCTGAATTTTATTTCGTTAATTGGAATAATCACGCGCGACGACACGTCGCTACCATATTTATCGTTATTAAAGAGAAAGGAGAAACAAGAGTCCGAGAAGTAATAATAAATCATATTCGTTCGAACGTTATCGAGAAAAATCTGTTCCGACAAATCAACAAGTCGGTCGATTCTTAATAAATAAGGGATACGGACATCTAATTTACAAGACGGGTTTATCACGCTGATGAGATTATACCGTAGATAACAAGAATACATAGATCAACTAGGTTGGTGATTTCTGAAACGTGCCCCCTCCTATCGATACTCGCATTACTCACGTTACTCGATACGTGCACCGACTTCTTTTTTTTTCGATACCGAGCCGATATCCCAACCAAAATTATCGATGCAAGAACTACTCGCCATCGAGTCCGAAAGTATCGAATATTATTCACTGTTACTTACTTGGACCGATATATTTCTAGTTTATGCCGGATACTGTCGTGTTTCGGTTTTCTCCGAGGCAAATAGCAGAGAAAGGATGACAGAGGGGAAGGGAGGGAGAGGGAGAGGGAGAGAGAGAGAGAGAGGGAGAGAGATTGCGATGAAGAAAGAGAGAGAGAGAGAGATTGCGACGAAGAAAGATAGAGAGAGAGCGACAGAGAGAGAAAGAGAGAGAGAGAGCAACAGAGAGAGAAAGAGAGAGAGAGAGCGACAGAAAAAGAAAGAGAGAGCGATAGAAAAAGAAAGAGAGAGAAAGAGAGAGAGAGAGCGACAGGAAAAGAAAGAGAGAGCGATAAAGGCAGAAAGAGAGAGAAAGGGAGAGGGAGAGAGTGAAAAGAAGATGGAACGAGAAGAGAGAGGGAGAGAGAAGAGAAGGAGAGAGGTTCGCCGGTAATCACGTGCAAATCGGAGGCGTGTCGAGAACTCGGTCGAACCGCAAAGTCCTTTCCTCGACTAATGCGTTCTCGCCGCGAGAGTTTGAACGCGTTTCCGAGAACCGATGGGCGTGACCGGGCTTTTCAACGTTTTTCGTGAAACGTCGAACCGAGACGGCGTTGTGTACCCGTCAGCTTTCCAAACCCGACACGAGACCACGAGAGGAGGATCGGGTTGGAACGCGATCGATGATAGGGTGGGTTGGTCGTGGTCGTCGTTGTTTGTCCAGGAGAGATTCGACTCTTAACGGATCGACGCGACGCGGTTTCTGTTCGCCGATCGACCACTTTAATGACACGGCAGTTTGGAGGAAAGACGATCGTTCCGAAATCACTGGCCCCGTCTACCACGACCCTCCTCAAATCAGCACCTGCCTAACCGAGATCACGAAATATCTTGCCCCGTCATTCCGTCGAGCGGCCCGTCCATCGAGAGCACTCTCTCTTTTCTCTCTCTCTCTCTCTCTCTCTCTCTGTCTCTCTTTCTCTCTCTTTCTCGAGAGACGCGTGGAGCATACCGTTTCAAAAGTTTATCCTTTCGTTCGCTTCGCGGGGAAAACGAGATTTTCCAGCGGCGATCCAGATCGCGTAGCTCTTTCGGAGCGAAGGTGTCGAGAAGAAGCCGCGTCGCGGCGCGCCGCACCGGGCCGGGCCGGGCCGGATCGAGCCGCGCCGCGGCGGAACGCATCGGTCGCGATAAGAGGGTGTGCAAGATCGAAGAAAACGGTTCGATTCGGTCGGTTAAGAGGAATGGAGCGGAACGGAAGGGAACGGAAGGGAACGCGCGGCTTTGGCGGTTACGGCAGTCGTGTTCGGCTGCACGGATGCGGCTCTGGCGGCGTCCGGAGTTAATGAGAGAGCGGCCGTACGGGGCAATACGGCGCATGCTCCCGCCCACTTCACGCCGCCGCTGATAGATAGATGCCCCTCCGGCCCTTTTTCCCTTCCCCTCCGCCTTGCCGGCCGCTCTTTCTCCGTTTCTCTCGCGCCCCACGCCACGGCCCGGTCCCCGGTACCCTCTCTCTCTCTCTCTCTCCCTCTCTCTTTCTCTCTTTCCCGTTCCCTCGGCCGTTTCGGCCCTTTCGCCGACCATCATCGGGCCCGCGTTCTCATACGTGCCCGCAAAAAGCCCCGAAATCGTTGTTATAAAGATATTACGGTAACTGCGAAAATTTAAGAACCGTTTATAAAAACGCGGCCGCCTCTCTCTCTCTCTCTCTCTCGTCCCTCTTCTTCTTCTTCTTCTTCTCATCTTCTACCCTCCCCCTCTCTCCCCGTCGACGACTCACCTTCTAGCCCGTCCGACTCGCCCTCCATCCGTGGGCTCCAAATTTACGGTCAGCTGCCGCGAGAAACTCGAAATTGCCTCGACGAGAGAGTCGGTTGGTACGGGCGTGTGCTCCCGAGGAATGGATCGCGAAAAGAGAGAAAGAGAGAGAGAGAGAGAGAGAGAGAGAGCTGTGTACCGATCCACTCTCCAAGGATATCCAACGATTCTCGACGATCGCGTGGCCCAGCGGGACGGAAACGGGCGCGCGCGTCGACGAAACGACAGCCTTGCCGCGGTCTCTCCGAAACTGCTTCGGGGACTCGCGTTCTCGGTCAACGGCTGTCGGGAGACAAAACGGTCGAAACGGTCGAAACACAACTCGCCGAGAGAGAAAGAGAGAGAGAGAGAGAGAGAGAGACGCTGATGCGCAAAGGCGACGGGGAAAGGGAGCGAT